AAAAAAAAAGCGTAAAAACTTAAGGGAAAAAAAAAGGAACTAGAAAAAAAAAAAAGATTATGTTCAAAGTACAAAGAGGCGATGTATTCGTGTACTTTAACGAGTGGTGGCGAAGTGCGGATTTTTAAAGGTAAAGCCTAACGGCAAAAGAGGGCTCGAGTTTTTGGGAAAGGGAAAAGAAAAATAAAAAATAAAAAAGAAAAAATTTAAGAGATAAAAATTTTCAAGTAAATGACAAATGTCTGCCGTATCTATCAATACAGTGCTGCAAGAGCGATAAAAATTAAAATTATAGGTCATTCAGAATATGGAACGAAATAAAAAAAAAAAAAAAAACCGTAGGTTAGATGGCGGTCAGCCGATGGGTAAAAAAAAAAAAAAAATTTTTTTGTAAAAATAAAAAAAAAAAAATTTACCGGCAAGTTATTTAACAAGTCATAGGGACTGTTCAGAATTTTTTCCAAATTTGTTTCTTATTATTTTTTCCTAATAAAGTACGGTTCTTAATTTCTGTGACCAGTTCTCGGACTCAATAACCTGATCTTAACTAACAAAGGTAAAAGTCTGAGCCTTCTTTTTTTCTTTTTTCTGTTGAACAAAATTGAAATGAGTAAGCGCATGAGCCTAATTATTATAATCGGAGAAATACGGCGTTTAAAAATAAAACAAAAATAATAAAACCACGTATTATCACGTATATTATAACGTATTTTAGCGTGTATAATATAAATGATATAAAACTCCGATTGAATAATAGAATGAAAATATTATAGTAACAATTGGACGATCCTTTACTTTACGATATCGTTATTCAATTCGCGTTATTTCTTTTTTTATAATAGAACGATTTGAGGGGAAGAGGCTTAAGGGGAAAGTATGTGGCTTTGTGAACCAGACATTTACCTGAAAAGACGTTTAAAAGATGTTTGTTTGCGGCTTATAATTATAATAGAAAAAAAAAACAAGCGAAAAATATTACGAGTTTTATATTCTTGATCATTTGCGTTAATTCGATATGGTAAAGATACACGTTAATAAACCATTTTTTCTTAAAAAAAATCAAGATGGTATGGATTAATTATTGCGCTTAAAAAAGTTACGGTAAGTTTAAAATGAGCGGGAATCAAATGATAAATAACCGTTTAGTCCGAAAAGATGGTAACGGTACATTATTGTTATTATGATTGACTAAAATTAGTATAATTAAAAATAACGGAATTGATCGAAATAATAAATAATTAAATTTTCTTCTCTCTTCTCAAGGACGTGTCTTTTTATTAAATTTACAGATAAGCCGCAAAAAAAAAAAAAAAATTCCTGATAATCATCATGATTTATGCAATTAAGATGAAATAAGCTTAATTTACGTAAGATTTAAAATTTAAATACATTTACATTTATGTATATGATCTTTTTTTTTTAATTTTTATCTCCGAAAAAAAAACCTAATGATTTTTTTGTACTTTTTTACTACCAGTTTTATTATATGTACAATAACTTTTTGTACACATGTCAAAAAATTTGACATTTTTTATCTTAGAATTTTAATTCTCACCAGAATTATTATTATTATTATTATTTTTGCCAACATTATCATTTTTTTTTTTCCCCCAATATAAAAAGGCTGTGTGAAAAGAAATCCTTATCCAATGACGAATTTTTAGTCAACTGTCGCCATCCCGCATGGCAAAAGAGCTCTCACACACTGCCATAACATTTAATAATAGCCCGATTTGTTAATTCTGAAATTAAAATAAATAAATTTCAAGTTTTTTTTTTTAAAATTAAACCTTTCTCTCTCTTTTTTTTTTTCTTTGGTAACACAAAATGGGACAATACAAAATATGAATAATATAATGATTTAAGTTTCTCCCTCTCTTTCTCTTTTTTTACCCGTATAATTGGTAAAATGGCTTTGCATGATTTATTTGTATAATGTCGGGCAGTGTGAGATTTCCCACTGCGCAGGAGGCGGTGAAATACAGTAAATCCTGTTATTTTTCAAGTTTTTTTTTTTCTACTCCACAAAAAATTTTTTTTTGTAACGTGAAAAGGAAATTATACACTTAGAATGAAAAAAAAAATTTTTTTTTTTCTCATTAAAAGTTTTTGATTTCGTAATCAATTAAAATAAATTAAATAAGTATAAGCTTAATAATAATGACAGTTGATTGATCACTACTTACTACAATAAAGCTTGTTGATTTTATTTATTATTTAATAAAAAAAAAAAACCATCAAAAAAAACGTAAATCATTTGTCGTAAATCCACGTTACTTTAAAAAGTTTAGCCTAAGCTTCAATAAACACTTGTAAATCAATTATTCATTAGACAAAAAAGAAAAAAAAAGCTAAACCCACCACAAACGATTCTTTGTTTTTTTTTTCGTACGGAAACTTCTTAATAAGTACCAGTAATATTTTTGAATAACAAAGCCACGGAAAAAAAAAAAGTATAATGTAAAGATAGATATATCGTAAAATCAGTAAAGTAATTGCTGTCAGGAAGAAAAAAAAAAAAAATCATGAATCTTCCCTTTTCGTTTATGGAGAAGTTATTCTTTTTGAAAAAAATTCTACAGGGTATCATATAAAAATGTCAAATATGTCATCTGTTATTTATGTTCATGTTTTCTCCGTGTCAACTTTAGTTATTTTTTGAGTATATGATTTTCAAAACTAAGAGAATTTCAAGATCGCGGGTAAATCAAAGAGGAAGATCGTGATATTATTTGATTTACTTTGTTATTTTTTTTAACGTTATTCTGTTATGGTTACATTGATTTTATTGCGTTATATTAATTTTGCATGTTATGGATAATTCCGGTCGGAATTAATTTTAAGGTATGTGTGCGTAATTTTACATCAAATTCAACCTGTATTTGTCACGGGACATAATTAAGATATATAATCATATACTTATTAATATCTTTCTCGAAATATTAAAAATGTACCAATTTTCTTTTTTTTAATATTTTATTTTTACTTTTTTTGTTTAGGGATTGAGAGAGATGATGATATTTTCATACAATTTAAAAATTTTCTTTTTTCAGTATTTCATACATATAATCAAAATGGTTTTTATATAATTTTTTATTGTTCTTTAGGTTTTATGATTTCATTAATAATTTTCTAACCATTTCAAGATAATTTCATTTAAACATTTAGGTAACACACAATGGAAACTTTTATTGTGATTCTAATAAAAAAAGAACAATGATATATTTTCTATTTTCGCGCCTACATCATTCTTCATGCAAATCTTTCATTCATTATTTAATTTATGTAAATCCTTTTTTCATTTCTTTCATGCGACATATGATAATAATTTATGCATCACCATCAAGTATTTTTACTCCATTTTTCCAAAAATATCAAAAGAGTTACTCAATATTTACGATTGACGACCTCATCAGTCTTATTCATATTTAAACCTTTCGATCAAATGTCGCTTACACAAGAGGTTATATTCGGTATTTAGGCTTAATATTAAATCGGAGAAATAATGTAGATCTTGAGATTTCCGTATACCTGGTAAGAAAAGTCTTTCACATGAATCGTTAGTAATCTCAGTAATTTATATTACCTGTAAAAGTGTATATACAGAATAAAATTTATGGGTATATTAAAAAGTTTGACATTTTTTATATTGTTAGTAATATAAATATATATATATACATATATATTTTGAATCTAACCCAATTTTTTTTAATATTTTTTAGTCATAATGTGTAATATTGTTCAATTTTTTTTTTTATTAAAAGTCTTCCCGGAATTATTCCATACCAACCAAGATTTTTCTATTATTAGAAAAATTTTTTCTCAGGATAAGTATGACATTATTACTTTACGCGTTTTTATATAGAAATTCAATGACGTTACTTTTATCATTTTAACAATCAACAAAAGAATAATAATAATAATGAAAATTTCGTAATACATGATTTTTTTGCTAAAAAAAAACAATTCAATATTGAAGGTTATAATAAGTAATAACGATCAGGTAAAGCATTTTTTTTTTTGAAATACGGGTATCAAATTTATTAATTTATTCTAATATAAGTTTTTTTTACACACATTTCCTTAATTCCTTCCATTACGTAGTTACAAGTTGGTGAATGTTTTATGTGTTTATGTATGAAATTTCGTGATTCATATGTTAACTATCTCATTCGAATCGCGAGATTTTTTTTGTTTGGGAGTCATTTTAAAAAAGATTTAACGGGAAAAAAGAAAGGATAATTCTGGTGAGAAATTATGCTTATATTTGATAATTTTGGCTGGAATTATGATTTGTTACGTTAACTAGATCAAATGGGACTTTAATAATTGAAAATAAGGAATTGGTCGTATATTTTGACTTTTGATATGAAAAATAAAATAATTGATACGTTGATTTCCAAAATGGACGAATGTCACGAAACACTTATTTGTTCGGAGAACTTCAAAAGTTTATTGGTTGATTAATTACAAAGTTCATCTGTTATTGGCCAATTATGATGATGATGTAATAATTAGATGTGTTCCTAATATATTTTTGACGATAATGCTTACGTCAAAAAAATTTTTTTTTTTTTTTTTTTCTTTACATAAAAAAAATGTCAACACAGCCCTTTGGAAACAAGCTTCCCTCTAGTTATAGCTTACCACCACCACCTCCTCCATCCTCTATTGGAAAAGGAAAAGGAAGAGGTCGAGGTAAAAGTCACGGTTCGGGAAGTTATCAACCATTGTTTCGACAAAATAACCAACCTGGTTCGAATCAACAAAATTCTCAATTATTCGGAAGTACTTATTCAAATAAAATTATAAAAGATGAACAAATATTACCTGACATAGAAAAAAATAAAGTATCTCATAAATTTGATTTAACTCAAAATCAAACTCCTTCAAAGAAACAAAATAAAAATAAGAATATACTATTTAAGAGTTCTACTGATTATAAGAAATTGATTAATCATCATAATAGTTTGTTAGCAAAGACCAAAAAATATTCACCACAAGAACAATTTACAAGTCTCTTGGATAGTTTCAATAAAAGTATTTTTGATAGTGTGCAGAATTTGCAAAAAAGTTTTGAAGAAAAGTACTCACTACCTCATCTATCTAGTAATAGTTCTGGTGATAAATATAAAAATTTAAGTTTATTGAACAAAGAAAGTTTAATTAAAAAATTAAATATTAATGGTCAAGCTAGTTCCTCGCGTTCAAACTTTTCACAAACAAATCATCTAGTTGAACAAAATAGTAAAGCTACTTCATCTCTCTCAAATAATACTTCACCAGATGATGAACAAGGTGGTTCAGCACATCAAGTAAATTTTGCGGCAGTTGCTAAAGCAGCATTGGCAGCAACTTCTGCTCTTCAATATAAAGATCAGAGTGTTGATGATAAGCATAATAGTGCAAAAGATTGTAAATCGAATAATCAAAGGTAAGTAAACTAGTTATTATTTTTTATAAAAGATTAACCGATTTATTAATTTCGATTTAATAATTCAGTAAATGGCATTGTGAATCTTGTGCACAAAGTTTCGTTCAAGAATTTCAATTAAAAACACACAAGTGCAATAAAAAGTCAAATAATGATGAATCGTAAGTGCTTTTATTTATTATACTAACTTAATTTATAAATAAAATCTAATGATTTTTTTTTTATTTTTCAGTCGCCTCAGACCAGTTATGAACTTTAATCTTGATACCCCTGAAGCAATTGCAAAGTGGATTGAGGATCGAAAGAAAAACTATCCGACAAATGCTAATATAGCACGCAAAGTGATTATTACTAATTCTTAATAAAATTTTTTTACCTGATTTATAGTAAATCTTTAATAATAATAATAATTTTTCGACAACAGAAAGAGTTAGAAGCTGAACGTATTGCTCGTGGTAAAATCCTTAAGGCTCAGGCTAAGAAACGATCTTTAGAGTATTCACAAAGAAGTTACGATGTAATTAAAAAGATGCGATTAGAAAATGGAAGACAAATAAATACAAGAACTAATACTGGTCGTAATGGCCCATGTGGATCCACCGATTTGTTAGTGGCAGCATCCGCCGCCGGCGCATCCCTTGATGATAAGATCATTCGGATGATACAACCTGCGCTGTCTACGTTGTTTAGAAATCGAAATTCAATAATAAATAACAAAGTTTTAAAAACAGTTTCTAATTCAAAGGTTTCAGTTTCAAAAAAAAATAGAAAGACTGGAGATCTTTACAGTAAAGTCTGTGTAAAATACAGGCAAGGACATTGTCCTAGGGGTAAAGATTGTACAAATAAGCATTATGGGAAGATGGTAATATAGCTTTATAATATAATTATAATTTTTAAAGCTATAAATTTATAGTTGTTTATCTATTGTACAGATCTGTCCTCCTCTTCAACGACCACCTGATGATGCCAGATGCAGACAAAGAAATTTACGAGAATTGGTAAGATTTTATTTATGGTTTAAATTTTTTTTTACAATTTATAAAATATCTTTCTTATAATTTCTCTTTTTAGCTTTTACACAAAGAAATTGTGGAGGAGAAAAATATGATTTTACAATGTCTCAGACATATAGTAAATAATAACTTTTTCGGGGTAGTTACACATAATGCGATAAAAGATGCTAAAAAGCGAGGGGAAGCACTTGTTACTGAAGTTGGCGATCATGTTATCAACCGGTAAAAAAGATCTATCTAGTAATCTAGTAACCCGTTAAATAAAAGCGTAAGAATAATTCACATTTGCAAAGAGTATTATAATCGACTATACGAGTCTAGAAATATTGATATAAGATTGAGGGTTTTTTCAATAAAAAAAAAGTAATTAATGTATTATTTATGTATTTGAAATTGGGTATTGTTAAATATTACAAATGAATACCATCGCCATGATAACCTAAAATTCGGATTGCAAATTTCCATGAAAGTCACGTGATAAAATTACTACTTAGTGAGTTAGTGTTACGTTATCCCGTAATTCCGGACAAAATTATCAATTAGGTATAGTTTTTTTTACCAGAATTATCACTTCTTTTTCCCATTCATAATCGTCAAATTAAATTAAAAGTTTCGCGAATTTTGTCCGTGAACAAGAAAGATTTGATGGGTTAACATGTGAATCATGAAATTCCATACACAAATCACACACATTCGTACAATTGTGCATAATTAATGTTGACGGGAAGGGAAATGTGTGAAACTTTATAAATAATTTCGAAGAAAAAAAAAAAAATCATTAAAATTACGTGTAACTACTGTCTCTTATACACATCTAGATGTGTATAAGAGACAGGTACAAAAATCACCTAAAGTTGATCCTTCACAATTGTATTATCCATTTTTGGTCACTCTTAACAATGTAGATTTTGATTATTTTTTTTTAAAACTTATCTACCTAATTTATTTTAATTTATTTTAAAATAATTTTATTTTATTTTATTTTTTTTTTTAATCACTAATTGAAATATAAACTATGAATACGTCAAATTCTAAACTTTTACCGAAAACTACGTCGTCAACAATAAATAATGGTATGTTATAAACTACAACTTTTTTTTTATTATTTTTACATTTATTTTCTTAAAATTAGATCCTTATTTTTAGTTGACATTTTGTTAGCACAGGTGGATCTGAATACATCTGGTGGTGACGATGATTCAATACCGAATAAGTCAATAAAATCTAGAATCGAACAACTAAATCAACAAAAGATTACTAATGAAACTACAAACACTAATCCTGCCATTAAACTCTATACTTCTACAACAAGAGATTCAAATTCTTCAGATAATAGAATAAATGATCAACCACTACAAAAATTTAAGAATAGTGTTAATGTGGTTAGTGTGGTTAATGCACTAAATGCTAAAAAATCTCCACCTCCGATACCTCCTTCAAGATCAAAACCTCATGTAGTTGGAAATATTAAACCTATTATATCACCACCATCTTCAGCGTTAAAGAATAATATTTCACCCACAATTTCATATCTTCCCAATAGTGCTCCTCTTCAATATTCAGTATCAAATTATCGTAACACCCATGATAACCCTTTTGATGATTCTAAAGTAGCTGTTTCTAAAGAAGCTGATCCATTTTCCGATATAAATGAAATGGATAATGAATCTTCAGTATCCTCAAGACATAGGAGACATAGTCATTCTCATGTTACATCCAGGGGAATAGGAAATAAGTTTATAGATGATAATTCAATTGAAGTACCTTCAAAAAAATATAATAATACTTCAAAAGTTTTACATAAAACTAATGAAAATGATTTAGAGAATGGGCCACCTTCTTTACCTCCAAGACCACAAAATAAACCGGCTCTTCCTGATCGTCCACGAAAACTTGATCGAAATAATGGTAAGCATAAAAGTAAACGTGAAAAAGAAGCTTCTGGCTCAGATTCTGATCATTCAGAAGACCGTGCTTCGGATACTCCAGATGCAACTCGTGTTAATAGACGTCCACCAAGATTTCATGATATTAAAGATATTAATAGTAAAGTTACAACACGTATTTTTGCCATTGCTGGTAAATTTATAATTACGAGTACAGGTCATACTCGTGTATGGTTATTAGCGGATGGTACAAATATTCGCACAATTTCTCATGATGATTCTAAGGCGGCAAGTTTATGTTGGCGTCCAACTCGTCGTGTGGAAGACGTTGGTCGTTATACTTGGTGTGGAACTCAAGATGGTCACTTATTTGCTATTGATATTAATAATGAAAAATATATCGAAATTAATAAGAAAGCTCATAGTTCGCAAATTAGTTTCATATTACGTCATGGACTTCAATTGTGGACTTTAGATGATAGCGGTAAACTACTAATATGGCCAGAAGGTGATGATGGTGTTGTCTCCCTGAAATCAAAACCACAAAATATAAAAGTTTCATCAAAAGTAAATTGTGCTATTGTAGTTGGAGAACATTTATGGTTATCATCTGGTAAAGCGGTTGAAATTTTTAATCCACTTGAGACACAAGGATTAGTATTGGAAAAAATCGAGTTGGGAAATGATGTAGGAAATGTAAAATGCATGACATATATGAAACAAATTAAACACATGAAACAAATGAATTTTGTTTATATTGGCCATGATGATGGAAAAATATCTGTGTGGAATACTAAGACATATGAACGGGAAGTTACTGTGAATGTTGCAGTTTATTGTATTAATTCTTTATTGAGTGTTGGCGATTATCTTTGGGTTGGATTCAACACTGGTATGATATATATATATGACGTACAATCTTATCCTTGGATTGTAATTAAAGAATGGAAAGCTCATAAAGCTCCCATTGTTGGTATGCAATTGGATGAGACAGGTTTATTGAGAGTTGAAAAATTACAAGTTGCTAGTTTAAGTGAAGAGGGTCAAATAATTACTTGGGATGGTTTAATGACAGAGGATTGGATAGGTGAGCATTTTGGAATATTGTTTTATTATTTTTACAGAAATTTTTATACTAATAAAATCATTATAATAATTTATTTATATAGCTGATGAAATGATTGTTAGGGAACTTGAATATTGTGATTTTAGGAATGTTAAAGTGCTAATATGTTCATGGAATATTGATGCTTCAAAACCAGCAGAATTAGAAAGTTGTTCTGATGGTATACAATTCCTTAAAAAATTGTTCGAAAGTACAAAGTCACCTGACATTATAGTAATTGGATTTCAAGAAATTATTGATTTGGAATCGAAAAAGATGACTGCAAGTGAGTAATAAATTATTTTATGTTTAAATAAAAAAAATGTATTTAAACTTTTTATTAATAAAAAATTTTTTTTTGATTTAAGAAACTATGTTGTTGAGTAAAAAGAAAGCTGATAAACAGATGAATGAAAATATAACACTTCGATATAAGTTATGGTATGACAAATTAATTGAATTTGTTAAAGAATATACAAAACAAGAATATGAAGTTTTGGTATCAGATAATCTTGTTGGATTATTTACATGTATTTTTGCGAAAAAATCTGAAAAAGGGAAAATAAGAGATACAGATGTTGCGATAAAGAAAACTGGATTAAAAGGTTTACATGGTAATAAAGGTTCAATAGCAACAAGATTTATATATGATGATTCATCAATATGTTTTGTGAATTGTCATTTAGCAGCAGGACAAACTCAAATAAAAGAAAGAAATACAGATGTAGCAAAGATATTAGATAATACAGTATTTCCATCAAGAGAAATTAATTCATGGGATGATAATGAAGGCGTATTTGCACTTGGAGGAGATGGATCAATGGTATTAGATCATGATATAGTATTTTTTAGTGGTGATTTAAATTATAGAATAAATTTACCAAGAGAAGAAGTATTTGATGCTATAGAAGAAAAGAATTTTTCATTTTTATTAGAGCATGATCAATTATCAAAACAAATGAATAAAAATCCGGGATTTCGGTTAAGATCATTTAAAGAAAGTGTGCCAAATTTTGCACCAACATATAAATATGATCCTGGAACAAATACTTATGATACATCAGAGAAAAAGAGAACTCCAGCGTGGTGTGATAGAATATTATATTTTGGTACTAATATTGTAAAACAAGAACATTATTCTAGATATGAATGTAAAATATCGGATCATAGACCTATTAGTGGAGCTTTTAAAATAAGAATAAAAACGATCAGAAAAAGTCATCAAGCTGAAGTTAAAGAAGACGTTGATAGAATTTGGAAAGAGAAAATTAAAGATAAAAAAAGAGAAATTATGATTAAATGGATCAAAGGTTGTGGATGGGATGAACAAAGTGCTATTAGAACTCTTGATGAAAATTATGGTGATTTAAGAAAAACTGTTGATGAATTGAAGAGGAAATGATTAGAGAAGTTGTAGTTAAATATTGAAAATATTTATTTATTTAATAGATTCATTATTTATTTCTATACAAATAAATTATGTAAGTTCAACGCTAATAACATTATTTATTTTATATATATATATATATAATTCATAAGCTGTTATAATTTATATTGAATTATTTATTAGTTTTGTATTATCATAACGTTATACAATATTTCAATCAATTTCAAAGAATGAAATAGTGTAATTTAATTAAAATTTTTTTCATTACCTTGTAAATATATAATTAATTACAAGTGATATTAAATTGTTGAACACTATGTAACATAATAATTTAATCTCCAAATTGCTTTGATAACTCCATTATATCTAAATAAAAAAAAGATATATTAAACATCCACAAATATGTATATTTAAAAAAAAATCATACCTTCAGATTTATCCAACCATCTTTGCCGCTTACTAATAGGTAATTTTCCATATAGAATACTCATCTCAACTTTTTCAACATCTTTTATATCCCAAAGTCGTTCAGGCTGTCTACGTTTCTTTTCAATAAAATGTTTAAAATAATGATCATTTTCCATTACAACATTACCATCTTTAATTATTAATGAATTCATTAATTCACCACATTCGCCGCATAATACGCTGTGACTTTGCGCGTGAGTTTGCTCAGCACTACCCGAAGAAGCTGTTGCTCTCGCCGAATTGGCCTTCTCTCCGCATTGCGAACATGTTTTTACACGTGAAGTTGTAGTGACTCGTTCAGTTATCATTGTAGAATTTGATGTGCCTAGTGATGTTGATACATTTGCAGATAGGTTAGAATTTATGGATTTTACTTGTTGCATGGAAGATGAATAGTTAATTATAGATTGATTAGTTGAAGAAAGTTTTGTGGTTGATAAATTTGTAGAAAGTTGCCGTATATGTCCTGATGGTTTACTTTGTTTTGTTTTGGCTCGTGATGTTGAGTTTCCTGTTAATGGACCAGAATTCTAAAAATATACCCATTTAAGGTAAGATCTTAAATAATGCCCACTAGTATAATGACCTTAAATTTCTTTTACTCACCTTTCTAGATGGACCACTAATGCTATTCTTTCGCTGAGTAGTTCCCCCACTATCTTTTTTAGTATTAACTTGTCCATCTTTCTTATTGAAACTTACATTATCTATTGCTATATCCAATAATAAATATTAACCTCTGATAGGTATTAAATCAAATCATTATAAAAGTATCTTTCTAACTACATTGTTCACTATATAATTACTGTGTATATTAAGCTATATAACGCACCATTATTAGTACTATCCTTTCTTGAATGTCTTTTCGTGTTCCCGGAAGACTTTGATTCTTGTACCATTTGATCATCTTCACCATTTACGTATTCAATTCCAAATTGATGATTCATATTAAAACCACCATTACCAGAAAATCCGGTACCCATTAATATATTATCATCTTCTTTATGAAGCCATTTGAAAGATTGAGGTATAACACCTTTTTCATAGTAAAGCGTAGCCAACGCTACAGCTTTGTCTTTCTGAAATATTGATGCATTTGGACCTTCCATATATGTAGTATATGGTTGACCTTTTGGATCAAAAGGAAGTTGATCTTTTTCTGATACAATTGAAAAAGAACCATCTTCAAAATAACATACTACGTTTTCTCCTCCAGCTGGATATTGTACATCATAATCCATCCTTTGTTTAAATATTTCGATTTCCTTAAACGGAACCACCTAATAATAATATAAGTTAAAAAAAGTTTATAATAAGAAAATAAAGACCTGACCTAAAAAAAAATTACCAAGGCGGGCCACCAATGTGGTGCATCGGGATCATCAGGATCTACGAACACCACTTTTCTTCGTAAATGTTTTGGTTCGTTTGCTCGTTTATTGTTAGATCTACCTTCCATAATAAATAACTTATGGAACTCAAAATTGAGTAATGACTCTTTAATTATGTCATTATAAAAATATGTCGTGTAACGAAAATCTTGCATAATTTTTTTATACTATATATTCGAAATTTTTTTTTTATTCAAACTTTTACATAAAAATAACAAGTCCTAATGGCAAGTTGGGAGTATCCCGTTCATAAAACTTTTCCTATTGTTCCTCCACTTAATGAGGTTGAATCAAGCGATCGGCCAGGTAAACAAAATAGATTTTAAATTCTTTGTTTAATCATATTACTATTTAGAAATAAGAAAAATAAGAATTTTTTTCTTTTTTTTAAATTCTTTCATAATTAATTAGGTATTCTTGACGCGAGAGAACAAAAAATTCGAGAAGATTGGATTAAAGTAATGGAACTTCGATTAATTCGTGATCAATTAAAAAAATGTTATAAAACTGAAAGTGTTAATCATTATCAAAATTGTAAAGAATTAGCCGAGAAATATTTAAGTTTATTAAAAGATAGTAAAGTTAAAGGATGGAAATCACTTAATGATTCTAAATAAAAAAAAATGAAAAAGGATTTTTTATATACTTTATTTATTTGGTAAATATATATATATATATTTTTTTTTCTTTTTCTTTTTTTTTTTAATAGAGAAAAGGTTTTATTTAATGATTTTATTATTAATTATTTACATGATTTAAATTTTTTTGCAAGAATATAGTTAATGAAGTAATAATAATTTTTTTTTTGCTTTTGGAAAGATTGTTCTGATATCAAATTGAAATAAGGTATTCAATTAAAAGTAACGATTTATGGAAAATGGTAAAAATATTATTGTATAAACCAAAATAATATATTTTCATTTTAATTTATTCTAAAGATGTTGAATTATTTTCAGGAAAAAAAAAAACGAAGCATGAAAGATCCTGCAGGTGTTTTTTTTTTAAAAAAAATAAAACAATGACTTTTTATAAAATTCATTACCATTAGTTATAATTAATTATAATTACCAAATAGAAATTTATAATGGGTAAGAATCGGGATAATTTATAACAAAAAAAAAATGTTCTTACTATTAGTTATACTTACCAAATAGAAATTTATAATAAAATTTCTTACGTCGGATCATGGGTAAAGAATTGGGGATAATTTTTTATAACAAAAAAAATTTTCCCTTTATATTATTAATACATATATCACTTGATAAAATTTAAATTATTTATAATTTCTATTTATATTATACAAAACAAAAGAACTTTAATAATACTATTAAAGAATATATTATACACAAGAAAAAAAGAGAAATACAAAAAAAAAGGCAAATACTAAGTTAATATATAAAGGTGATTTTTTTAAATAAGAAAATTTTTTTAATTAAAACGGTAATATTTTTTAAAAAGGCTATATCATACTCAAATTTTTCTTTTTTTTAAAAAAAAACAATTTTCTATACAAAGAAAATACAAAAAATGCTAATATAACAAACTAAATAATACAAAATTTCTACAAAAATAAATAAATAAATAAAATAAATAAACATGAATAATATAATAAATAATGTATAATAAAATGCTAATATATATATATATAAATGCCAATAAAAATAAAATAAAATAGCAACATTGATAATATTGATATCGTCCCAACCCAATAAATAGAAATACAAATAAATTAAAAATAAACTAAAAAATTTTTTTTTGTCATATAGACATATTTGAAGATGGAATGTTATTAATGTTATTTTTACTAATAACATTATTATTAACATGTCCATTAACATCATTAATTGTGTCATTTTTCTCTAAATTTTCTTTTACTGATTTATCCTCTAATTCTTCCACTGTTTCCTTCTCTTTTTCCTTTAAATTCTCCTTTTCATTTCCTTCTTGTTCTAATATTGGAATATTTTTTTTATTTGTATTTTTCTCTTCCTTATCATTCCTTATTAACTCATTTCGAATATTGTTTTGAGAAGATTTTGATCTAATAATATGAGGATGATCTTCACTAACATCCTGAAGATCCAATACTAATTCCCCATCACCAAGAGTTTCTTCAACCATAACAAAAGTTAATCCAGAAGCGAATAATTGTTGGGAAGTATCAGAATTTGATAAATTACTTGCATTTTTTACTATTTGTGAACGAATTCTTGAAGCAGCTAATTCATCAGCATAATCAGGATCTAAATCATCATCATCAGGAAATTCAATTGGTGGTGGTATTGTTGACTCCTTATTAATTTTAGTAACTGAAAGTGATTGAGTAGGCACAGGAGGTAATGGTATATTAGGAGGACGAGTTGGAGGAGGTAAAGGAGCAATATTAATTGGCATTGTTTGAAATCTTGATGAATTAGAAGAATATACTGAAAGTGGAGGAGATTTTGATCTAACGGATAATCTTGTATTAGAAGATGGATGTGAGGGCAAATTATTAGGTAATGTCATAGTCCTATCATAAATTGAAGCTCTTTCTCGTGGTGGTGATGTTGCTTGTTTCATATTCTGTATAGGTACTGGCAAATTTGTTATAGAAGGTTTTGTTCCTATTCCTCCCATTCGTCCATCTGCACTTGGTCTTCTTGGTGGTGGTATTGGGGGAGGCGGATGTAATGATATTGGAGGATGATTACGTGAAGCAACTCGGGATGCAGAAGTTAATGTATTTGCTGGACGAGGAGGAGGTTGAGGTAAAGGAATATTTGGAGGAGGATTACGAGTTAAATAAAGATCAGGATTAATTAAAGGAACTTTAACATTATCCCTTGCAGGAGGTTTTGGACCTTCTGGAAGTTTAGGTGGACTTGGTAAACGAGCATAAAAGTCGGATGATTTATAAGGCAATTGCTGAACATTACGTAAAGGAAGATGTGATAAGGAACGTGGTGGAGGAGATAAGAAATTATTAGAATTATCAAATAAAGAAGTAGGGGAAGTAGTTTTCATTAAACCCCAAGATGGCATCATAATCGGTATACTTTCTCGATGACTACTTGTAGTAGAACTACGGGTTGATTTTCTAGGAGAATTATTAACTGAAGGAGATGAAAGGGGTGATTGACGAGGTGATGATTGTTTTTTTATTGAAGTTAAAGTAGTATTAATTGATAATGCACTATTAGCAGAATTTGATCTTTGTTTGTTTCTTAAAGGTGAAGAGGTTACACTGGCAGTTGAATATGTACTAGATATTGAACTATTGTGTTGATGTGTTAAATTACCAAGTCTTGCTCTTGGAGGGGATAATGTTTCAACTGGAGAAGAGGAACGTGGAATTTCAAGATCATCATCATTATTAATTGAACATAATTCTTCAACATCAGAAGGAATATGATTAAGAGGAGATATTTGACGTGGAGGTGGAGATAATGAAGTAATTGGTGAAGGAGGACAAGAAGGGGAAGAAGGAGCAGATCTTGGACGAGGAGGAGGTGGTAAAGAAGTCATCATAAAAGGACGTGGAGGAGGAGGTAAAGAATAATCATCAATTGAAGATGAAGATTTAATTAACGAAGATTCAGGAGAATTAGTCAATTTACTAGGAGAAGAAAAAGTTCTTTGATGAATCTTTTCATTACTTAATATATCATCCTCATAATCATAATCATCATCATCATCATCATCAATATATAATAATTTATCAGCTGAATTAGGAGTTTCAGGTGCATGATTATTACATTTTACTACAGTAGATTTTAACTCGGTTAACCAAACTTTCATATCATCAACGTTATCAGCTTGTATATACCAAGATTTTTGATTCGAATGATTTGATTTACCAACTTGTAATACCCAACTTTTACCACTAAAAGTATCACTAACACAGACCACACTTTCAGAGGTTAATTCAAATTGTTCTAATAATGGAGAACTATTATCAGAAGATTTAAAACAATATAAAGTATTTTTTGCCAATATAAAATATCTTCTTTTCCATGATTTCCATGATTTAAAATGTGTATTCGTATGTTTTGTTAAAAATCCTTTACATATTACATTCTTCCTTATACTTGCCACCGTTATTTGACTTTCTATACTTCCTCTATCAATATACATTGAAGGAGATCTTCTATTTAAATCAATATCATCTAAACCTAATATTTTACTCGCTTTACTTTGTTTATTCAATAATGGTTTGTTATCATTAATTCCAAGTAACTTGTTGGCTTTATTTAAATTATTTTTATTAAAAGATTTTGTTGAAGAAAAAAGTTTTTCATCTGAAGAAGAAGAAGTTGTTTTAACATCACGTGATTTTTTTGTTACTTTATTGTCTAACAAAATTTTGTCTTCAGAAATTGTTAAACCCAAAATTTTACCAGCTTTAGATAAGTTATCAGAATTTTCAGGAGATCCAGGTCTAGAAGTTAATAAACCAGAAGTCAAGATTTTATTATTATTATTATTACTACCATCAGATAAAGCAAGAGATAATATCTGTTTAGAACGACGTCGCCTTATCGATAATGAAGAAAAACCAGAACGACCTAATATACGATCAGATTTTGAAGGAGAACCTGGAGTGGCAGCTCTTTGATGATGATGATGATTAGGAAAAGAATCCTCAGGATCTGATAAAGAACCTCTTTGAAGAGAAGAAGAACTTGAAGAACGTAAGGAACTTGAAGATAATACACTAAATATTGAACGACCAGAATTTTTTCTTTTGTAAGAACTTTTCTTTTTATCTAAATCAACTCTTGTAGAATTATTAATTTGTAAAGGTAAATTATTATTCAATAAAGCAGGAGAATCCGGATCACCACCTGATGTTGAAGATTCAGTATCATTAAATGTACTTGATTCAGTTACTTCAGAATTTGAATCCGAAACAGTTAATCTATTTTGATGGTATTTCTTAAAAAGGGAATTATTATTATGATTATCTTGATGATGATTCAAATGTGAAATATTATTATTATTTAAATTATTATTATATAATTCTTCCTCTTCAGTTATTATACCAAGAGGATTTTTATTATCATTTGGAGATTTTGTCGAGGTATCATCTAAATCATCTAATGATTGATTTAATACAGGGGATAATTTTGGATTTTCAGTGGAAACGGAAGTGTTTATAGTAGATTGAGAAGAAGAAGAAGTGAATTGTTCATTATAAATATGATCCATATCATCATCTCTCTCGTCAAATGAACTACCAACACTTGAACCTATTCCAGATTCTTTTGATAATCTATCTGCTAAATCAAGAAAAGAAAAACTACTAAATTAGTAAGAAAACAAGAGTAATCATTTAAATATCAAGTGAATGTAAACATACCATTATTTCTGGATACATTATTAGATACATTATTATTATTAGAAGTGATCATTGTTTTTTTATTTCTAGCTAATATTTTGTCAGTTGAGACACCTTCAAGTTTAGCAGCAGCTTTAACCCTTTCTTCTAATATAGTAGAAGTTAATTTATCAGAAATATATTGTGACTTATTACTTGCATCAATAATAATGATTTCATCCTCTTCTATATTTGTTTTCGTGTGTGTAAGCATTCTGTTGAGATAAAAAATTTTACTAGAGTGCCATAAAAATACACTATAAATGTGAAATAAAAGAGAGGATATATGTGAAAATAAAGAGTAGAAAGTTTAGTAAAAAAATAAATAAAGAGAAGGTAAAAGGAGGAAATGGTTAAAATAAATTATATAAGTTGAGATTGAAAAAAAAAAAAATTTTTTTTTTTTTTTTACTCAAGTATAATGAGTATTGAAAAAAAAACAGTTAAAGTAACGCATATTGAATATATGCCAAAATCAAACATAACTGCGGTCTGTGCGTCTCTTTAATAAATTGAAAAAAAAGCATGGTTGGATTTCTTAAAGTCAATCTTCACACGTAAAACTGTATGATACAAGCATGAAATAAAGTTCAAGATCGAACTAATCAGGTAATCGGTTTGAAATGCCGGGAGGTTATTATTACAAATCATGTATATAATAATTATAATAATTTTGTGTGACATTATATGTATATGTAAATCATTACCAATTGAGGTAGTTACACAGGTCAATATCAAAATTCGATTTTATGTTTTTTTTGTCCAGAATTTCAGAAGTTGGGTGAAATAAGAAATATCGATATCCGATATTTGATATAAAAATAAAATAAATCATATATTTAAAAACTAGTAATAATACTTTTTAAAGGATCAATTTTATTATTTCTTATCATAAAAAAAAAAGAAGAAGAAAAAAAAAAATTCATCTACTTATTCATTCATTCATTTTATTCATTCAAACAGCCAATTGTCACCTGATGATCTTGATTAGTACGTATGATAAGTTTGATGATTGACACTATTCTATATATTAATATATTACAATAAATAATAACAAACAAAAGATTTGGTAATAAATAATAAAAAAAAAAATACGGATATTTTAAATAAAAATATATGTGCATATGTTTAATGTATGTATAAGTAATAAATTCGCGTTTCTCTTCTTATTTTTCTTTGAATATAGTCAATTAAGTATTGTTTGTATCCGAAGTTAATAAATTAAATTTACAATTATGTTATAAATTTACAAGTTTTTAGCTAAATATGGAATTCAAGGATTTGATCCTTTTACTTGAATAAGTTTAATTAAAAAGTTTAAATTTAACTTTTATTGGAATTTAATTAAAATAAAACCTTATTTTTTTTTATATATTTTTAATTTTTAATATTTTTAATTGTCGATTGATAAATATTTTTATTTTTATTTTTTTAATTTTTATAAATTTATACTTTTTTTAATATAATTGTTACTTTATTATTATTATTTATTTTTTTTAAGTATTATCTGAAAAGGATCAGTTATTACGCATATGCTATTTTGGAATTAACTTTAAAAATTAAGAATTTTTGATTATGATAAACCTGATAAACCTACACTAAAGACTTTTTGAAACTTGATCTTCGGGATTGTTTACGGGGAACAACCGAGACCGCAGGTCCTTTCCGAGTTTATGTTACTCAATACACAATATTCTTCTAAGGGGAAATTTGGATTCTTTTTCGCGTTTTCGGTTGTAATTAATTTAATTTGTTTATTTACTTTTGATTTCGATTTATGCATAGAAATTTCAACCACATTTTATCTCTCTTATATATTAAAAACTTATCTTAATTTAGATCCCAGTAAAGATTAGAGTTCATATTTCTTTACTTTAAAGTCATACTGTATGTTTGTTATTCGTACGATATCATACTATCATCTTATCTATCACATTGATTCTTGTCATTATTATTCAATTGAAGCAATATTAACATTATTGTTTTGATGTGAATTTTCATGAAATTTGTTTAAGTTTTCTCCGCTTTGTGTCCATGTTTCAAAATTTTATTAAAACAAAAATTATTATTGTGGCTTTTAAAACTTCTTCGATAATTATTGGTTGACATTGATTTTAAATACAATAATGAAACACATTTTAATTTTCAATGCATACGATCATTTTGATATTCCAGGTATATTTCGGAATAGTCTTTTAGTATTAGCACTGTTACTATTTGTATTATAAATTATATTATCCTATAGGATTATTTAGAATTGACATATATGATTAAATCAGTTTATAAAGATTGGTCTATTGGACTAAATAATTTAATAAATTCAATAATATTCAATTTTATTGAACTTAATAATTTTTATAAATTCAATAAGATTCAACTCTATTGGACTTAATAATTTTATTGGATTTAACTATTTATAAATTCAATAATATTCAATTTTATTGAACTTAATAATTTTTATAAATTCAATAATATTCAATTTTTATTGGATTTAACAATTTATAAATTCAATTTTATTGGTTTTATAAATTCAATAATATTCAATTTTTATTGGAATAATTGGATTTAGCAATTTATACATTCAATTTTATTGGACTTATAAATTCAATAATATTCAATTTCATTGAACTTAATAATTTATAAATTCAATTTTATTGGATCTTAAAAATTTTATAAATTCAATAAAATTCAATTTCATTGAGCTTATAAGTAAAACCAATTCTGGTTAATTTTTTGTGATTTTTTTAATTATGTAAATATAAAAATACTTACAATTTAAATATACAATCAATTTAATTTCAAAATAGCTGTATTTCTAAATATATAACATTTTTTACTGATGTTAAAGTTATTATTGCAGCTGTTATAACTTTCTGAAGAAGATTCTGATTTTGTTATTGTAATTGTTAGAAAGCTTCTGCTTCTATTAAAAGCTTTCTATCTGAAATTTTTATCTAACTACTATAAGAAATTTTTATTTTCTATTAATAAATATAATTTCTATAATAAATTAAATGATTTTTACAAAGTATTTAAAAATTACTATTAGATAATTACTTAAACTGTACATTATATATATCAAATTATTAAATAGTAAAAAAATTAAATATTACTATTTTATAAATTAAAAGAAATATAATAAAAACAAATTAATAGAATACTTACATATTTTAGTAATATTATTATAAATATATTACAATAATTTTATTTTAATTACTTTAATAGTATTTGCATAAATTTATATACATAGTTGTATTAATAAAATAATTTTTTTAAATTTTATAATTAATTTTATTACTTACTGTTTTGATTATTATTACTTTTTTAAACTTAATAATAATTAGTATAATAAATTCCTAACTATTTCTTTATGCATTTAAAAGTAAAAATCTGGTTAATTTTAATATTTTTATTAGCCAGCTATAAATATATTTTTATTGAAGTTCTAAGAATTTTGGTATTAATATTATCATAAAAATTATAATATTATAATATTTTGTAAAAATTAGAAGAAATATTGTTTATTCATAAATATTAAAAGTAAGTTTTATAACCATATTTTTACATTTCAGCATTAGTTTATAACCATCTTAATGCTAAAAAAAAAATCACAAACTAATACCTAAAACAAATACAATTATAACAGGAATCCCAGTTAAGATCACTTTATTATTAATAAAGTATGCAACTGTATTATTAATTAATACTTTCTTATAATTGGCCATTTATAATAATTGTATTTAATCTTTAAAACCTTGCCGATTTTAAATTTGGTGTATCTATATCTATAAATGTAATACTAGCAAATTACTTTATTAATTCTTTAAAATTATTGTTGAACTATCGATCATTTCCTTTTCTTGTTTTTCTTGTTTAAATCCATCACCATATATTTTAAAGAATTGTTCTGCTTTTGAGAAGAACGTACCTTGACTGATGGATTCTCTAATATTCTTGAAAAATATCGTGTAGTGGAATAAATTATGACTAGAAATAGCACAATGTCATTGTTAATACAAAATTCCATTTCCTTGATCAACATATTATCCGAACATGCATAAGTATATTACCTCATGAGTAGTACTGAAGCGAGCATTTCATGAGTATTCAATAAATGATGAATATATGCTCGAGTATGATTTTGACATGAATAACACTGGCATCCAACCAATAAAGGCTGAGTATCATCACAAAAATTTGTATTCCACAAGTTTATTGTTTTTTGATTTTTAGAAGAATCTAAATCATTCTTTACATCTAATGAAAACGTAAAAGCATGTCCTGCATCGGTCATTTTTACCGCATAATGTGTATCAAATAAGTCAATTCCCTCGGATACACCTAATAGAATATCCTCTAATTGAAAGTGAAAATATGGGTGAAATTATTGAAACAATTTATGTGATTAACGAAAGATATCTATTACGTACCTGGTGCTCCTAGTCCGTATGTCAAACGAGGTTTATTAGATGGTAGGTTGTCGAGTGAACTTTTCAATACATTTATACGTTCTCTCGAAGTATTTCCCAAAAAGTTTCCATTCAGTACGAATCCTATCAAGTTTGTAAAACGAATATATAAAATAAATCACTTTTGTTGTAAATATAAATTTACATGATTCGTACCAGAAACATTTCTTTTTGCAGTTTCTTGAGCCGATCTAATTCGTTCTTCCCTATTATTGTGCCCGGTCAAAACTCCAAAAACATGGATCCCTACCTATTAAATAACAGCCTAACATTAAAGAAAAGCTTCTCAAAAAAAACTTTTTGAAAAAAGCAAAACGTATTCAATATACCTTTACGTTATTGAGCGCATCATCAAGCCATTTTAACGTTCTATCAACAGACTTCTTTATCCTTTTCAAACTTGGTACCTCATCCGTTATCTTATCAGCTAAACTTGCAAAAACGTCGGGTTTATATATATTCATATATTCAATATATGAATCGGACATAACCTATTTAATTAAAAAGTCATTTAAAAGTGGAAAAGTTACTTTGATTAAATGTTAATACTTGCCTGGCGCACTCCGTGACATGTATATACAGAAACATACTTGTCAGTATTGTTAGATACAGGTTTTAGGTTTCCAGAATCACGAACGTCAATAAATACAAGATACTCTTCAAAATTCAAAAATTTATGTATTCCATCGGGAAATTGAGTGGAAGGCGGTGGTTGTACATCTATACTTTTGTTAATTAGACAAATAAAAAGTTAGATTTCCCAAAGCGAATTGTATACAAAGTGAATATAAACTCACAAATGCTCTAATGTAACGTTAACAGCTTCAACTAATGGAATATTATGCAGATTATCAGGTGTCAAGTGTGGAACACAACCACGACCCGTATAAGCTAGACAATTTGGTGTATCTAATATTATTTTTTGTTCATTTTTTATTGAAATCAGCTTTCCCAATCGTAAAGATTTTTCTGAAGTTTTTAATAAATTGAATCGTAGTGACATATTTCTTTATAAAGTTAATGACGCGCAAAAAAAAAAGATGCCAATTAGGAAATTCGATTGGATGATATTTATTTGATAAACCTGTGCGACGATCGATTTCCTGAAATTGGAAATAATTAATAAAGAAGCAAGAAATTAAAGGAATTGCAGAAATATAAAATATCAATAATGTCATAAAAAACCAAATAAGAATTTTCTAGTAAATTGCACATAAAGTAGAGAAAATAATAAGAAAGAATAAATTAATAAAAGAAAGAAATACTATTAGATAAAAAGCATATGCAGAATAGAAAAAAACTTTTATTTAAAAAAAAGAAAAAAGAAAAAACTTATCAAGAAATATTGCAAAAATATATTGAAAAAAGAAGTAAATGAAAATTAATAAAATAAACAGATTTACTTTTACCAATTGTGAAATCTTAAAAGCTTTGCTAAATAATACAATAATTTATATAATTTTTTAAGAAATAAAATAAAAACTTAAAAAAAAAAATATAGAATAATATACATAATAGTAAAAGACAGCTGATTTGTTAAAATTGTAATAATTTAATTGTATTTTGATTATATTTAGCTATATATAATATTAATTTGATACTAATACTATAAAAAAGCAAATATTAATGACAAAAAGCTAAATTTAATATTTTAAAAATATATAGTACTAGAAATCTCTAATTAAAAGTTAAAAATAAAATTATAATAATTTTGATTCTTAAAAATAATGAATGTATAATTTATTTTTTTCATATAAAATATTAGGTTGTTAATTTTTTATATATATAAAATATTAGATTATCATAAATCTCTTAGGAATTCATGCTTTAATTTGTATGGTAAATAATAAAATAAATGGATTTATTACAGTATATGCCAGAATAATAGACTTACTTAATTAAAGGATACATGATAACAAGTAAACATTACTTTATGAAGAAATTAAGAAAATACCAGAATGGGAGATATATAAATACTCTAGTACATATGTAAAAAGGCATTACCTAATACAAATTTTAGAAGGGTAAAGAAAAACCATGTCTTTATTGATATATTTTAGAGACATTGATGATTCAATTTAGCTGATAGTATGTTTGCATTATTAGGGTGGTCAAATTAAACTGTAGTTTTTTTTATAATAATTTTATACATAGTCAAGTTAAATGCATATTAGAAATTATACATCTAAGATTAAGGCAAGGGAATAATGGAAATCTTTCTTCCTGAAGAAATTTATTTTTGAGCATGTCACAAGGTGCGGTCACTCGGCGCAACAAACCCGTGCGGTGGATCAAGAAAATTTATTATTTATTCTGATGCATTACACACCACACGTGTAAAAAATAAATGCCCGAAATATGGGCGAAACTTTATTGATAAATGTATGCGGAGTACAGATACAAAAAACTTCATAACGGCTAAGAATTGTACTAAGGTTATGATATGATATTTTAACATGAAAATTAATAAAAGGCGTCAAAATATTGAATGCGGTTTCACTATCACTAGTATAATCTCCGGGTCATATGACTTGTGGCAGTAAGTAAACATTAATTCTTATGAAGCCAAAAGCTTTGCCGAAACATAATCTATATCATTCGATATCGAAAATAAAACATTTTGGGAAAGGATTTCATCAAACGCTTTGCCCTCGTTCATTGATATTTATCATTAAAATACAAATGGAAGAACAATTGGCGTTCTCGTAGTACCAACGGGACAAGCCTAAATTTACATAAAGTTCATCACTTCCAAGCTATTCCAATCCGTACCGTCGATTTCAAGAAACTTCTTTCTTTTAGCGTAGTCGTATATAAAATTTCACGTAATATGGATCCAGATAGATGATTTCTGTTCTTAATTCAGGTTGATCAACATCTACCCATTTAAGGTGATGAGAAAATCCTAAAAGATGTTAAATACAGCACCTTAATAACAAAATAATATTCAATTACCTTCTTTCCAAAACCATATCTCTACGATTCACTACTCTCTCCAAAGCTCTCCTTAACGTCGGACCGTAATCGCCATCACCGGCGATTAGTCAGGTCTTTTATATCTTTGAATCGCGTCGCTAATGAAGCTTGCAAGTTTGACGTCAACCCCTTTCTCCTTATTCCTAACTCGATCGTAAGCTTTAATTGTAAATCCAAGATCTTCAAGATCTTCCAAAGTAAATCGTCTGGTGGTGGACGAGACCCAACTATAACGGGGTAATATCCATCCAGGTCCGTTTTGAAAAGGCGACCGTAGTCAATACAGATCAAATTTTCACTTAATCCCTCTTTTTGCTAACAAAATTTTTTCTTTGGATATAAACATTAGAATTATCGATAAAAACGTGAACTAATCCGGTAGGTTCCCTTGAAAAACCTGCAAGGAAGATATTATCCTTATTAAACTTGCGAAAGATATAAAATCAAGCCATCATGCGTTCGCTGCGTTGACTATTTTATTAAGACTCACTTACCGGCGGCAATAACAGGTTGATCTACGATAACGTGAACGGGTTTTCTGGGTGGGTTTGACGATAAGAAGCAGGAAAAATATCAAGTAAGTATTCGGTATTATTGACAGAAGACGAAAAAAATTAATATTATTCTTATACTTCTGTATAAAGTTGTCCGAATAAGATGTTGATTACTTTTTGCGATATATCGCACGGATTGATCTGACTCATCAGTTGATCAGTTACGCAAATACAGATATCTGTCACATCACTACATGCTTTACAATATTTCGTCATGTAATCCATAATTCCCATGTTTTCCATCGCATAGTGAGTTCCACGGCTGAGCATATAATTATCAATCCCCCCCTAAAACTATTTCGGAACTTCCAAGTATCCAACACGGATTTGATAATTAATTCTGGGTCAGGTTTGGTAATAGGCTTGAAATCAGAGGCTTGAGGTTTTGCTGACATTATCACAGCTTTTTGATAATTGCCATGGCTCATGTCCGGTTTCATTTTTATATTTTTTGTATAAGGTTGGAACGAATCTTATCTGTCAAAATGCTTGGTAAATCATTTAATTTGGCATGCCAATCCAGATATTCGGAGGTCAATATTTTATCGGACTTGGTCATGTTCCCTTTTTTATATGATTGCAAATCAATTTAAATTAAGTAGTTACCATAAAATTAGCTCCGTAAAAAAAATATTGCATAAGAGTGCATGAGCAAATAGAATATTGTAAAGCAATGAGACTATGCAACTATCTATTCGCCTTCTCTTTGATTGTAATATAGCATTCATCACAATAGTAATAATATTCTTCTGCAACATTGATTCGATTATTAGATTCTCCATCAGGAATTTTTCCACATTGAGAACAGATGTATTCAAATAAACCGGATGAATTTCCATTGGAAAATTACATGTTAAGCTATTATTAACTTTATTAATTTTTTCATTGTTTGCTCATATTGTCACTTTTATCATCATTACCATTATTAGAAATTTTAGTTTCATTTGTACTGACTAGGAATATCGAAAGAATCACCAAACAGGAAAACACACATATTTTCACAACTAAATGTAATTTTGTCTTACTATATAATACGCGCCATTTGTCCTTCACACAATTTAGCAACACTTACAATAATTGTTGGCATTTTTATTAAAATGTAAAAAAGGAAGGAATCGTTGACATTATGCACCCAATATGATTAGATGATCATTCAACAAAATTTTGTATTACATTACATGATAAAAAAAACCGCATGCCCGCGTTATTTTTGAAATATTGTATTACGAGAATCTAAATATTTTATTTGTCCGGCACTCCGGCCTTATATTCCTAAATTATCATATTGTATTAAAGTAAGTTCATTTATCATTTGAGTAGGATTGAAAAGCAAGAGAATGTATTGGGAAGTATCGTTGATTCAGCATCTACAGATTTTGACGAAATTATTGAAAGATCAACAAACTCGGGCGGAAATCATCATTTGAATCACATGCTGCAACAATTAAAATTTGCAATCAAGAGCACCGGTCATCACATATTAGTGAAGAAAAAATGATTTAATAATAATATAAAATGTTTACTATAATTCTAGATTGTAGTTCATATAGTTAAAAAATGTAAGTCTGATAAATCTGATAAAGATTTCCTGATTATAGAATTATGAGAGCTTTGGCAGTTAGTCATAAATATCGCAAATATAGCATTATTAGTAATTCTGAAATCTGTCTGAATGAACATGTGAACTCAATCAGATAAAAACTCTTTTTTCAATAATTCGCACGAATTTTCAAGCGTCATATAATTATATAAATTTGGTTTAAGTCAACATTTTTTATGTTCAAATTTTTACTGTGGCCAAAATAAGAGTTTGCAAATCGGTTACACAAACTAGTATCAATGTTAAATGTGAAATCCGCAGATATTATTTCTTTACAATGTCGGGAAATTTCAGTTCTGATTCACTTATGAATTTTCTTAATACAACTTATAGCATATTAATTGAACCATTTTTGAAATTGTTCAATGTATCTCAGAAAGACTTGACTTACGGAAGAGCCTTTCTTCCTTATTCTCCTACCGAACAAATCGTTCGTTCCTCACCTTATCTTTATTCAGAATATAGACTCCCTTTCTCTTTCAATGGCGCAAAAGACAGTTTTATTCATTATCAAATCTGGTATTTACCAACTGCTAAAGTGCAACGTAATGCAGACGTTTTATATGTTCATGGATTAAACGATTACGGGGGCCGTTTTTCTGAAAATTGTATTCCAATATTAGAGGCAGGTTTTCGTGTTATCGCACTGGATTTACCAGGTTTTGGTCGATCTAGTGGATTACATGCATATGTTACTGATTGGCAAGACTTTATAAAAGCAACCAAACTTGTCGTAGATCATGTCAATGAAAAAAATGCAGAAGAAAATTGTCAAAGAAAATTGATTTTATTTGGCGGGTCTCTTGGTGGATTGATTATTATAGATTATTCTATTAAACATCCAAATACATTTGACTTTTTATGTATACAGTGCCCATTAATTCATGTTGCTAATCAGAGTCGACCTAGTAAATTTGCTGAAATTGTTGCTAAATTAATCGGTAATTCTCCTTTAGGTCGTTTACCTTTAGTAGCTGCACATCGCGGAAAAAGTAGTTCTGATCCGAAAGTTATAGAGGTAATTATATGTTAAAATACTTTTTTTAATGTTTAACTTATTGTTGATCCTAATATACTCTATTTGTAGAGATTTCTCTCGGACCCACAAACTTATCATGGAAATTTAAGAGTAGCTACAGGTTTGACATTATTGTACGCTACTGAATGGATACAAACAAAACTTGGAGAAGTTCGCAAACCTTTTTTTGTACAGCATGGTTTATGTGATCGCGTTACTTTATGTGATGGGACTAAAGATTTATTTGCTCAAGCACAAACCCCGGAAGATCAAAAGACTATGTTGTTGTATGAGCAATGTGAACATGACATGTTTAGAGATCCATTGGCAGGGGAAAGAGTTTTGAACGATTTTATAAATCGGCTAATTCAAACAGCGAAATAAAGATAATTATGATAATTATAGACACATTATTATTATTATTATTCCATTGATACCTGAGAATAACTAAATTAATTATTCAGGGAGGGAATAAGGGAATATCAGTGAGTATGGAGTTTCTATTAATATTGATAGGTTCTCAATGCAAATAATTATGGATTGATAAAAAATTCCATTGGTATATTTGTTAGTAATAAAATTTTCCTTATATATTTAGAGGTATTACATTATAGCCAAAATTGGTAAGTCACACACAACCGTGACTTTTTATAAATCAATTCCATATATATATAATTAAAACGTGTTAAATAACCAAAAAAAAATTTTATAATAAAACTAACGAGTATACAATACAATTGGATTTTTTTTCTGTACAAAAAAGTTAAACATCAGGAAAAAACTTAATATATAAAATAAACATCAAATTAATATAAAATTACTTTTTTCAAAAAAATAAATGATATAATTTCGCTGATTATTAAATACACTAAATACAACAAACACAAAAGTAATAAATTAAGTCTTATAAAAAAATCTATGCTATATAAAAACTAGTAAATGATTAAATAATGTATAGTCCAAATTATAAATCGTATTAATTATGATAATGTCCCGCTTTCCCGAAAAAAAAAAATTTTTTTCTATATAAATCCAGGTCGTTCTCCATTATTTATGAACAGTGAGTTAGAATGTTCGATAATATATTCAACTGCCGCATTCTTGAAATTCATATCAAAAATTTCGGAATTTGGATCAGGACCTTGAAGTAATGTAGGTCCAAATACGAGAGAGAGATTTTTGGCAGTCATAAGATTTTTTGCTTCAAATTGTTTTACCCTAAAAAAATAATATTGTTTAAATATAGTTGAACAAGAATAAATTAACATGGAATAAAGTGTAAAAACTCTCACCGATATAAATGTTCAATTATATATTTTGCGGTGGCATAGTTGACCTTCGGTAGTTGTAATAATAATTCTCGAAATTTTTCAATTTTTTCTTCACCATTAGGCATGGCTATAAAAACGTTTAAAGTTAAATTATTCTAATTGAAAATTAATATAATATAAAATTTAGTTATGTAGACTTACGAACTAATTCCAAGAAATTTGGGTATAACTCATAGGTAAACAAGGGATTTGGTAGATCTCGTAAATATTGTTTGAAAACACTGGTTACCGCGCTTATGTCATTAAATTGGTCTGGATCATCCAAATCAATTTCTTCACCCTTCTCAAAAGCTGATATAATAGCACGCATTTGTAAGGCGCCACCGTTTTTTCGATAAATGCCTTCAAGGTCCATTCCTGTTTTTTTTTTTTAAAAAAAAACAGCTATATTCTAAATAAGGGCATAAATAAATAAAATATAATTATTTGATGTATACCTCTAATTTCGACAGCTTTAACACACTTTTGTACAACATTTGGTATATCATTTCCATCCAATTCTGACTGTTTAGTTAAGTCATTACCAAATATAAAAGTGCCATTAACATCACTATCTGGATCATTTTCCAAATGGATCGCTCTGGAAGTAATAGTACAATTTGATGTAACATGATATGAACATTTTACATGAACAGCAAATGAGCATCCTGTCAAAAAAAAAAATTTTATTAGTAAAAATGTAAAGAAATAATAAATTATTTTAAAAAAAATTTCCCCAATATACCTGAACACTTTAATTCTGCAACACCCCACATTTTTTCATGACAATAATCACATTTTACAGGACTCGCTAAATTAAATTGTTGCCAATTATGAGGACGATTCATTGTATAATCTAGCATTTGGCTCATCATTCTCCTCTTTGCCTCATCTCGAGTTTCATTTGATACCGCGGGCAAGCTAATATTAGACGATGAAGTTCCCATCATATATGGTTTAACATCGTTAACTACTACATTTGCATTTGCCAATAGTTTATTTAAAACTTTGCCGCCGTTTTTCCACTTAAACTTTTTGGGTGTAACACCGCGAACTTTCTGTAAAGAATCAATTGATGCACCCTCTGGAGCATCAGTTTCAAAATTATATACTGAAGGCGATTTACCATGTCCAGAAATTTTGCTATGAGTAGAAACAGAATCTGTATGATGATGACCATGTGGTAATTTACTACTTTTGAAGAAGTTGAATGCATTATGATTTTTTCCTTTGTTATGTAATTCAATTTGTTTTAATAAGTCATTGTTCATTTCGGCTAATTCTAGGTTCTTTTCATTTAGTTTTTGTGCTTCTTCGATAAACTGGTCTCGTTTATATCGAAGATTTTCGGTCTCATCCTTTAATAAATCTCGCTCAGTTTGCAAAGATCTAATCTCCGATAAATAATTCTGTTTGACTTCGTCAAGATGAGTTGAAATATGTCTGGCAAGAGAAGTTGGAAGATCACTTGTACTATTAGAATTAATTGAAAAAGTCCTGTTATAAAATTTATAAAAGAATTTAACACGTTAATATTCAACAATCATTAAAAAAACTTTTTTATATTTATTTCATATTTACCCGGCAAGACCAGCTTGCTTTTCTTTAGCTAATCCTTCGATTTCCTTAATATTTAATTCTTTTTGTACGTTCATTACGCTTAAACTATGTTGCATTTCTTGCAATTGTTGTTTTGTAAATCGAGAATCTTTAATCAGTTGTTCCATTTCAGCTTTTTCTTTCTTTAATTCTTCTATCTGCTGAGTCTGTTTATCAAGTTGTGCACGAATTTGCTCTTCGGTCTTTTTCCTTAGTGTTATTTCATTATTAAATTCTAGAGTGAATTCTTCATATGCTCTCTTACTTTCTCTCTATATAATTTATGGAATATTGTTAATAAATATTATACACAATAAATTTAAATATTCATAAATACCTTTATTTTGCGGACGTTGCTTTCAGCTTCTGTCAATTTCTTTTTTGTATCAGCATAAGCTTTTTGTAATTCTTCCAATGGTACATCTTCCGGTTCAGTTATGATTATTTCATTTTCTCGGCTGGATAATGAAGTTATTGAAGATCCACTGTTCTTTCTGTTCGGTGACATAGGAGAACTGCCGGATGAAAACCCTTCAAAATCCATCGAATCAACACCATTTAATATTTTGATATTCTTATCTTTCGAAAAATCTCCACGCCTATTTTTGCGTTTTTCGTCATTTTTTCCACTTGCAACTAGCCTACTCAAGTCATCATCTCCACTTGAGAACGACAATGGCGGTAGTACTGGTGGGCCAATTTCCAAGCCATTAAAATGACCGCTTTTGCGAGGTACTGGAGGTGCTTTGTTACTAAGACTAGGTCGAAATCTTGGACTAGTGGGAGAACTAGAACGCGAAGTGGCTGGAGAATCCGGTGTATTTGAATAGTATTCACTGTGTGATGGTGGACTTAATTGAACATTTGTAGTATTTTCATCAATATGAGGTAAATGCGGGTGACTTTGTTGAATATTCGATGATTTTGCTTTTCGGCTGGAAGAGGGAGATCCGGCTTTTCGGCTTGAATTGTCCGTATCACCGTGATCACTCTTCCTTGATAAGATATCGGTAATATCACTTCGCTGACTAGAAATTGAAAATGTGCGCCCCATACCACCTTCATAAGGTTCACTTCGAAAGCTTGTAATAGAAGCATTTCTAGTATGAGACCCGGTTGTTTTCCCACGATTTTCAGTTTGTCGAATTTTTGGAGGGTTATCTAACGATTCATTTTTTTTAGAAAAAAAACCAGTTTTCTTTGAAGTTTCGGAAGAATCTCCACGATTTTTATGTTTATCATCAATCTTAGTATGTCCGTTAGGTTTCCCTGTAATTTGTTCAAGTGCCTTCGAAGCATTTGAAGAAACCTTTTGTTTGAAGGCATCACTAAGTGAACTGGCATCAAATAAACGTGAATGACGACGACCTACGTGGTTTGATGGAGGTAGAGTATGTGCTTTTGGTATTTCTATAGTATCCGAAGATGTTTTTGGTGATATTGATGGTGAAATATTATTTTGTTCGAAAGATCTTTTATGACGCATGGAACGATCAGGTGGTTCCAACCTGCTAGATTGCTATAATAATTAATTAAATAAATGTGAATTACAATAGGTTTTAATGTGATTACATGTAGTTTTTAACGAATTAAATACCTCTGATTCGGCTTCAATCGGTAATGATGGTAAAGACTTTTCCAATACTGATGGTGGATTTGAGATTTCTCTCTCCTTTGCTTTCTTTGTTTTGTTGATTCTTTCGTTATGACAAGACATGCAGTATATTCCCTTAAAGTATTGATTTTCAATTATTAAATATAATTAGAGAGATAAATATATATTTGTAATTTGTAAACCACCATTGTAATTATTCCAAAATTAATTTTTTTTCCAATATATGAAATATGACTTTAATAATCAACACCACGTGATTTCATTATCATCATCATTATTTCCACAGAAATAAATTACCATAACAACTACTGAGAAAATGGCGGAAAATATTCTTTTTATATACTTGTTAATTGTGATGCTGACATTTCATACAATAACGGTCAGGTATTATCATATAAACATACCTGATTTGTTTTAGCAAATATTAAGTCTTCTATTTGTTTATGACATTGTCGACAACGAAAGCAGTCGACGTGAAACGATTCGTCTCCTAATTAAACACATCAAGGATCAATATGCAGATTAGCTCCATTTTAATTAATATTTGCACCAATTTTAAATTAAATAATTTTGTCTAATTTTGTTTATAATTTACATCTCTTATTGAATTGAATTTGTCCACAAATATACTAGTTTAGTTTCTAACCTGTCATAATAGCTTCGTTTAATATAGGTTTCTTACAAACATGACAATTATATGAACAGTTTTCGCATATTGGATTCCCGTCAGATAATAATAAAAGGTTAGAATCATGCTCGACCAAATTATGACACTTAGCACACAGAAAGCTTAAATATGCAGCAAACAAGAAATAAATTAGGAACGTATATTTTCATTTAATATAAAAAACCGATTCGAGTAACATACCATTGAACATGCCATATACCTTCTCCGAAGGCAACAACGTTTCCTTCTTCAATGAGACGATTACAGCCCATACAATATGGGTCAATAGTGTCATCATTGTCATAATTTAAGCTAATGTTATCGACCATAACGTAATGTTTTGTGTTGGAAATGAACTAGTATTCAATAATAAGGAAAAAGGTAGTCAAGAAGTATATACAAAAAGAAAGTAAATCAAAAAAAAACGTAATTTAAACTTTATAAGCGTAATAAAAAATAAGAGAAGATAATGTTCTAAAATATGTATTACTATAAAAACCGTGAGCGGAGCGATCAATTTATGCACACTGGAATTTCAAACAATCGTACAAAAGTAGAACAAATCATCAACTTATTATTACATTTTGTTAATATATCAGTTTGAGTAGCATTGTTTCCAAGATCATAAACTGCCACGTGAAACTTTGTGCTAAAATACCACCTATAAAATTTGCTTGTCAAACATAACCTTAAAAAAGAATTATTCAAATTTAGTAAAAAAGTGTAACAATGTGCTTATTAAAAAAAAAAATTTCAATTAAGCTTAATTATAAATTTCTAAAATTATATTACTAAAAATGTTACAGTTTTTTATATTATAATTATTTATTTATAATAATAATTTTTAATAATTTTTATAAATAATAATAATTTTTATAATTTTATATAATAATAATAATTTGTAATATTTATATATAAGAAATAAATTTCTAAGAAAATTGCAATAAAACAGAAAAGTTTATATTTTTTTTTTCAAATGATAATAATTAATTGATAATATTTTTTAATCATTTTATTTTATAATTAATTATTATTCTAATTAATAAATGATAATATATTTTAATTACTCTTTATTTAATATTTTTATTGCATTTTCTATATTCAAAATATTTTCATTTATTTTAAGTGATAAAAAAAAGAAAAATAAACTATAAAATAATTTCAAAGATTTTTTTTAATTATTTTTTATTTTATAAAAAATATATACAGGTTTATTTAATATATAAAATTTTTCTTATAAAATATTAAACTAAAATATAAAAACTTGCTTTTAGATGTTAATTAATTAAATATTAATTAAACTATAATTTTTTAATAAATACATATATATTAATTTTAAATAAAAGATGAAGAGAACTCTTCATAACCATTTTTTTTAGAAAATTATTTTTATATTTTTTATTTATTTTTTAAAAATTTTCTTTTATTATACACTTAAATCTCTTAATAAACATACTCTAAATATTTTTACTTTACTATTAATCTTTTCTTTAATCTTTTTATATCTCTTTTCATATTATTTAAACTAAAATTTGTAACTTATTATTAGTAACATTAACTGTAAAACACAAAGTAGAAAGTCATAAAGTAAGAATAAGAAAATATTTTTAAATGAGCAGAAGTGCTCTAATTATCTCTATTAAATAACTTAATGACTTTAATGATATAGAAAGAAAAACTCTAAATAAATTATAAAATGTTTCTAAAATATATCAAAAACAATCACCTTTATTCTAACGGATTGATATATTATATTTTTATAACTAATACATAAAACAAATATGATACAGTTTTAATATATTTATAAGTAGTATATGGGTATTATCTTTTCAAGTTCTTAAATAATATCAACTGGCTTTTTTTTCATTTGATACATAGAATAATATTATTTTTCAAATATATATCTATTTTCTAAATAAAAACAAATTATCTTACTAAAAAAATTACCTACTAATAAATACTTCTAAATATATTATTAAATGCCTTTCTCAATACTTTTCAGGCTTTTCCATCTTTCTTATAACAATTAACTAATTTGAAAAAATCCTTTCAGTTTTAAAATTTATTAAAATTAATAAAATTAAACCTGGATTAATATTAGTATTTATCTTTAAATTATAAATAAATGAACATCTGAACTTCATTTTTTTTAATTTCTATACTTTTTAAATAAAGAAGACTAATAAATTCTTCAATCAAAACAAGAGTTATGCCATTTTTTTGAATTTTTCTTATTTTTTATTATAGAATTTTTTGGAAATAGATTTTTTCTTCTATTAATTTTCTTTTATTTCTTTATTTTTATTTTATATTTTAAAGTATTTTAGGTTCTATATACTGTATAAAATTTCTATATAAATTTACTGGCAAATTTAATTTTAAATATGAAAATTATTTAATTTATATAGATTTACTTTTCTTTTTAATTTTATTGGAAAATTACAATAGCTACAATATAATAGATTTTATAGCATTTAATGGACTAAGAATTATACTTCTCTACTAATTATTTTGGTGAACAGACCAATTTACTATTATTATGAATTAATTATTATATTTATCAAAATAAATTTAATTAGTATTTTGTCATTTTGACAAAAAATATACTAAAAATACTTCATTTTATATGAAAATACCTATTTACAGTCAAACCTTAATGTATCAATACCCTATATATTGATAATTTCCTATATCAATAAATTTTCACTGTCCTATTTCATATTTAATAAAAAAACCTCACTGTACCGATATCATATATAGATTCATAATGTAACATGTACTGATATTCATCCTTTATTCCTGTATCATTGTGTATAATAAAATGTAACGATAATCAGATTATACCACATGTTACATTGAGATTATCGGCTATTTTACATAATGTAAATGCCCAAATTTCTACATATGACAAATGTTTTGTTCTCAAAAAATATTTTTAATAAAAAAACTATTTAATAGTTTATATTTTACACAAAACATGTATTATGTCTCAACAAGGAAAAAGAAAATTCTTCTCAACCAAACAAAAGAGTTATTTTAACACATGCGCAAAAGTATCAACTCTGTTTAGATTCTCAAAAAACACCATGACTTACCCAAACAGAACTTGCCAACTTATATAATATCAAACAAAATACTGTTTCTGATATTTTTTTAAAAAAAATAAGTGGCTTTTTATTAATCCAGATTTAGAAGAATCAAATAAACAAAGAGAAAAGCAGGTTCATTTTCCCCAAGTTGAAGAGGCCCTTTCATTATAGATTACAAACGCACTTTTTGCAAATCTTGTAATTAATAGTAATATCTTGCACGAAAAAGCTAAATTCTTTGCACAGCAATTTGAAATTACTAGGTTTTCAGTTTCTAATGAGTGGATGGATAAATTTAAAAAATGGTATAATTTAAAAGAGCATGTTAAGTAAGGTGAAGCAAATAGTGCACCTCTGGAAACATTAGACGAAGAGAGGAATAAATTATGTGAAATTCTTAAAAATTATAATTTAAACGATGTTTTTAATTGTGATGAAATGGATAAACTGAATATATTTTAAATAATTTTGAGCATATAATAATTTTTTTTCATTTATAGAGTTGTATTGGGATCTTGAACCTTCAAAAACGTTAGCGCAAGATCCTCTTGCTAGGAAGAAAAAATCTAAAAAACGAGTTACACTATTCTTCATATGCAATGCAACTGGTACAGAAAAAATAAATCACTTTTTATCCAAAATCCTCAAGCATTACATAAAAAAAAGAAGATTTACTGGTAGAATATTATTAGAACTCAACTTCCTGGATGCAAGTGTCTGTATGGAATGATTACCTCACAAAATTGGATAAATGAATGCGATTACAAAATCGCAAAATTCTATTACTTGTTGATAATGCTCCCGTTAGGGATGGGGGTTAATTAACCACGGTTAATTAACCATGGTTAATTAACCGTTAATTTTGTTAGTTATGATTGATTTAAAATGGTTAATTAACCGTTATTTATAATTAGCCAATCAAAATGCAGAATTTAAATCATGTGATTAAATGATAATCCATTATTTTGTTACACAATTAAATATTAATTAATATAAATATTGATTAAATCTATGATCTACATATTGCATGATCTTTTTTTTAAGATAAATTTTTTTTAAAAAAACACTTTTTTTTTGCAAATTTATTGTTCATTATCATGGTAAAAAAAAAGGGAACTGTTTGGAAACATTGGACAATAATTACTGAAGCAGAAAGTAATGAAGAAAGTAGTAGGTCTAAGAAAAAAACACATCCTTCTGTACGTTGTAATTATTGTTCTAAAGTTTTTGAACAAGGTACAGCTAAAAGAATGCAAGTTCATCTTAATGATAGTTGTCCTAGAGCTCCAGAAAGTGCAAAAACAAAGAAACAACAAATTCCTGAACTATTAGAAACTTCTGATGCTACTACTTCTACTTTTATTCCTACAGTAAAAACATCAAAAAAGCATTTAAAAAATACAACAATTGAGAATTTTGTTGATCGTATGAGTGAAGAAGAACAAGATACTCTTGAAATTTTACTAGCTCAAGCATTATTTGCTGCTGGAGTTCCTTTTTCTTTTCTTGAAAATAATTATGTTATTCAGTTTTTTCAACAATTACGTCCAGCATTCAAATTACCTAATCGAAGAAAACTTGCTGATGAATTACTTGATGATGTTTTCGATGAAGTTAAAGCTGAATGTAATGAACAAATTTTACAAGCTAAATCTCTTACAATGGTTTCAGATGGTTGGTCTAATATTAATCGAGAATCAGTTCAAAATTTTGTTATTTGTACTCCAAAACCATTATTCTTTGATGCTATTTATTCTGGTGAAGAATCTCATACAGCTAAATGGGTAGTAATTTTAATGAAAATGAAGAAGATAGTAATAATAGTTCTGATAATGAAAATAAAGAAGATGATAATAATAATAGTTCTGATAATGATAGTATATTTGGATTTGAAGCAAATGTTATTAATTTAGATGATGAAGAATAAATAAAATATATTAAAATTTTATAATATTTAATAAATATAATAGTTCTGATAATGATAGTATATTTGGATTTGAAGCAAATGTTATTAATTTAGATGATGAAGAATAAATAAAATATATTAAAATTTTATAATATTTAATAAATTATAAATTTATTTTAACTTCCTTAAAATTATATATACAGGTTATTTATGGGTTAATTAACCGTTAACTAACCGTTAATTAACCGGTTAATTAACCAAATTCATAACTAACGGTTATTTTACCAACCCTAGCTCCCGTACACATTATTGATGAAAATGTAAGATTGACAAATGTAACTGTATACTTTCTGCCACCAAATACTACAGCACATTTGCAACCTTACGATGCAGGAATTATTAAATCTTTTAAGGTAAATTGATATTTAATTATTAACTTATAAATATAAGGATTATTAATTTTTAATTATTTAAGCACAGTACCAGAAATTGATCATTAGGAACAGAATTGAAGCGTATAAAATTTCTCAAGAATTAAACAAAGGAATTACGCCTATAAATATTTGTGATACTATTAATTTTAGTAAAGAAGCTTGGGATTTTGTAAGTCAACGAACAATTGTTAACTGTTAGAGGCATATAGGAATTCTTTTACAAGATGAAATTGATAAAGGCGAAGAAAATGAAGATTAAGCTGATCAAAAAGCTTACAATAAAATAAAATTACAAGAACTTATAACCAATTTCTATATGATGATTCTATGGATGTGAAAGAATTCCTTCATATTGATGATCGTTTACAAGTTGATGGAGGGCTAACTGATGAAGAAATTGTATCCATAATAAAATCAAATGATGATGAACCAAAAACGGATCTAATTGAAGAATCTCCAAAGGTAATTTCAAAAACGGAAACTCTAGATAATTTGGATAATCTTGTTTTATTTTTTGAATATTTATTAGATATTTTTATTGATCCAAATGAAACAAGTTTATTATGAAAACTAAGACATAAAGTTTTAAAATCACATATTAATAGTTTAAAACAAACTACATTGGATCATTTTATTCAAATTGTGTAATATTTATACTGATATTTTTGTTTCTTAATATACAAATACTAATAAATATTGGTTAAATCTATCGTTTTAATAATAATAATACAAATTTTATATCTAATTTTATAATAAATTGATCAACGATCTAAATTTCACATAATATATATAAATTTATAATATACTGATAATATGATATACTGATACAATTCTCCTAAAACAACTGTATTAGTATATTGAGGTTTGACTGTATTATCTGACAGTATATATATATATATATATAATTAATAGTTATGAATTAATGATGTCAGATTTATTTTATAATAGATAGTTACTATATATGTAATATTTTCTGTTGATTTTTTCTAATAAATTCACAAATATACTGCAGAATTAAAAAAAAAATTTAAATAAAAGATAATCAAATTACTTTTTATTTACTGTATTTGCCCAAAAATAAGCAATCACTGAAATAAGCAACATGGCCTGCATTATAACAAATTTTGGCCAATATTATTTAAACTTGGCCAGTATTATGTGCAAAAATTTGTTGCTTATTTTTGGGCAAATACGGTAAAAATCAAATTTCAATAAATTTATTTCTTTTATTAGGATGAATTAAATGGTAGTAAAATTATTTTAACAGGAATTAATAGTTTGTGTAATAATTTAATTATTAATTGTAAAATCTTATTTAAGAATTAGATTTTAATGAATATTATACTATTTGATTACATTTATTAATAGTAAAATCATCTTTTTAAATTCAATATTAATAGATTAATTTGTTTAAAATATATATATTAAAATTTTAGTAAAATATTTGTAGAATTAGTAAAAAATATAAAAATTAAAAGTAATTTACTACAACTTAAAAATATATATACTCAAAATGCCAAAAGTTTAAATTAGATTTTAAATCAATTTGAACTAATTTATTTTAAATAGTAACTATTAACCAAAATCATTGACTAAAAAATTTTGATTTATTTGATTTATTTTAATTAGTGCAATTATAAAATAATATATCCAACTTTATTTTTAAAAAAACCAATGATGAATTTTTAGATAAGTTGTGTAAAATACAGTAAATCTGACCAATAAAATTCGTCAAACCACGTTACCGAGAAAGGTCTGTGCAATAGAATAATTTTCTCACGGCAGCAAAAATATCGATCTTGATAGAGTTGCAGACTTGCAGTATGCTTCTTGATTCAATATATCAAGAACTTGACCAATCAAGATCGATACTTTTGCCTCACGGCTTACGGCTCACGGCATTTAGTATTTTTTTTTTAACACTCCGTAACGTAATACATTTTTTTTAATCGAACTGAAAAACCTATAAATATTCGCTAACTATTACTTAGTTGTTTGGTCGCGATAATTCTTTTTCAATATTAACACTAATGCCTGCGGACCACACCTTAATTTTCACTTGTCGATATGGATCGAATAAAATGTTCGAGACGGTATCATATCAAAAATAAATTAATAAATTTATGTTGTTTGCATTAATAAGGACCATGGAATTCCTGGAATGGAAAATTGTGCATTTAGTAGATTTTGACATTTGGCTTCGAATACCAAGCCACATAAGTCACGTGGACGGATACTTGAAATTACGGGTTTTTTACGAGTAAAAAAATTTTCTTTTTTTTTATTTACTAGTTTAAATAAAAATGACAGGGTCACTAAATATTCTTGCTATTGATTTTAAACGCACTGAACGTATTGGGCTAACGACAGCTCTTCGAGAGTATATTTCTTATCATTATAATGATCACCCAGATAATTTTACAGACGATTTTCGCGTTCTTGATGAATTGAGGACTGATTGTTTAAATTTGGAAGTACATCAGAACGCTCTGCATCGGCTGTTAAAGTAAGATACTATATTTATATGCTGAGTTCAATTAAATTAACCAAGTGATGGATATAAAATAATTTTTTTATAATAAAAGTGACTAATTTATATATATATATATATTTTTTTCGTTCCTAGATATTACGGACAATTGGTTTTTATCGGATCAAAGTTTCCAATTGATGTAGGTTTGGTTGGATCTCTTATTCTCTTTAAATTTGAGATCTTAATTTATTTCCTTGCTTAACAGTTCGGTATAGAGTTTCCTTGGTATTCAGCTTTTTCCGATGAAAAAAAACCAAGTACAATTTATTTAATTGTTTATTTAATAATAAATAAAATATATTATTTTAACATTTATTATCGTTCTTTTATTATTAGTTTCACATCGTAATTTTTTTTATGAGAAAGCATCTGTGTTATTCAATATTGGTGCTATGTATAGCCAACTTGGCGTCTCTGAAAATAGAACAACTCCTGAGGGAGTCAAAAGAGCATGCCAGCACTTTCAAGTAAATTATTTAATTTATGCAAATTATAATAGAGATTGTTACAATTTTTATTGGTAAATTGACCGTCTATATATCTAAACTCAGTATGCTGCCGGATGCTTCAAACATTTGGATGGAGTTATAATACCAGAAATGCGTATTACACCACCTTTAGATATGTCATCCGAGACATTAAACGTATTGATTAATACAATGCTTGCACAAGCTCAAGAATGCTTTTGGCAAAAGGCTGTTCATGGTGAATTGGAGTTTAATTTACTGTAATCATTCCAAAAATATTATGATAAGTGAGTATATATGTTAATGTGCTTTTCAATTAGATAAATACAAGGATGGAACGGTTGCAAAATTAGCTAGCCAAGTATCCATTTATTATGAAAATGCACATGAGATAGCATTAAATAATACAGAAATTGCAAAGTTATTTGGGCAAGTAGGTTATTAATCTCTATCTTATCTCTAAATGAATTTTCCTATATTTAATTCTAACATAAATTGTATTAAGGGATGGCTTGTGCATTTACAAGTAAAATCTTGGCATTTTCAAGCTGCTGCAGAGTTTAGAAAATCATCTGAATGCATGAGTCAGAATAAATATGGAGAAGAAATTGCTAGGCTTCAAGTTGCTCAAGAATATATTAAAAAGGGATTAGACCAAAAGAGAAACTTACGCGAAGCTGTTGCAAAAGACTTGGAGGTATTTGTGTATCTATTACATAGAGAGATGTTTTTTTTTTTTATTTTATCTATCTTCATAGTTGTAGTTCTTTTTTAGTCCGTACAGACAGCTGTCCAATCAAATTATAATAGAGCTCAAAAAGATAATGACATTATTTATCTTCAAATGGTTCCATCTGCTTCTTCGTTAGCTTTAATTGGTAAAGCTAATATGGCAAATCCCAATATTCCACCAGAAGTCAAAGATCCTATTTCTTTGATGAATGAAAGATCCATGTTGGGCGTGCCTTTGTTTGTAAAACTTGTCCCTTATGCAGTACATCAAGCTCTTAGTGTATATTCAGATCGTAAAGAAAAACTAGTTAGAGATGAGATTTTATCCAAACTTCACGAATTGATAAATATTTGTAACAGGTATTATTTTTATTTTTATATATAAAAAATATACGTATACAAGAATAATTTTTCGCTTGTATTTAGTACATTGCGGTCCTTAAATTTGCCGGCAGCACTTAATGAATCAGAACAACGTTCAAATATACCATCATCAATTTTAGCCATGTCTCGAGAAGTTCGTAATGAAGGAGGTTTAGCAAGATTAAATGCTATGTTTGATACTTTACAAGATAAATCTAAAATGATCTATCAAACTTTGGATGAGGTTAATCTTACAAGAATTCTAAGTCTGATATTATGTCTGGAATTTTTATTTACCAAGTAACGTATGATTATTTTTATAGGCTCTTGCTTTTTTGGATCAAGAATGCACTGATGATGAAGAATTTAGAAATAAATTTGGTGCAAAATGGGCTAGACCTAACTCTCTATCAAAAAATAGAGAATTGACTGAAAAAGCAGCAAGCTATAAGAAACTTAATGATCAAGCTTATAAGAGTAATAAGGTTCTCCAAAATGGATTAGAACAACAAACAGAAGCTTTAGATTTATTGAGCTCTGATCAAGTAAATCATTAATTGTTTAATTAAATTTACATAAATTATTAAAAAATTAAATTCGTTAATGTTTGTTAATGTTTCAGGAAATGCTAGAAGAACGCATTCCTTCAGAATTTCAATCATCAGAACCAGATATGGATGGAATTAAAAAAATCAAAGATGAATTAAGGGTTTTAATAAATCAATCATTTCAAATTATGAAAGAATGTGAAACTAAAATTCAAGAAGTGAAAAAGGCTGCAGATTTAGATGATATTTGTTTGTATTAATGAGTTTGTTATTTATTGATGTATTATGTTATAAATTTTTATTTAACAAAAATTTTATTTTATTTAAATTATTTTTAGCACCTATATTACTTAAGGAAGCTGCAAAGATAAGCTCAGCTAGTAATACATCTATTAAACTTGAACCTGCTCATTTTGAAGATTTATTTATTGAACAGTTGAAAAAATATGATAGCTTTTTATCAACATATAATAAATTATCTGATGTGCAAGAAAAAGTTTTGGCATCTATATCTGTAGGTGAATTTTTTGTTGTTATATACATTTTTTTTTTTTTGTTTATTTATGATTTTTAAATACAAATTATATTACAGGACAAGTTTGAAGAATATAATAAAAAAAGAAGAATCGCATTAAATAATCCAAATAGAGTTCAGTTTATACAAAATCTTGAAACTGGTTATAAATATTTCACTAATATACTTCAACGATTGCAGGAAGGAATGGCGGTAATTAGTATTTATAAAATAACAATTTATTTTATATTATATATTTGATTATTAATTATATTTATGTTATTTATTTAGTTTTATGCTCGTTCACAAGCAAATGTAGATGAACTTAAGCAAAATTGTCAAGCCTTTTCCGCTATTCGTAAAAAAGAAGCTGAACATCTTGCAGAGTATATATTAATATTTTTATTTATATAAAATAAACTTTTTGTATTCTTATATTTTTTATTTTATTTTTTTTGTTTATAGTGTACTTTCAGGATCAATGAAAAATCTTAATATCTCACAACCTGCATCTCCTCTAGTATGGAATAAAGGTATGCAAATATCATTCTCACCTACATCGCAAGGATATTCAAGACCACCACCACCACCACCACCAAAATGATCTTATCAATAATATAAACTTAATGTAGAAAAAAAATTTTGATAACTACTTAGAATTAAACAGAATAATTTTTTTAAGAAAAAAAAATTTATATTTAATTGTATTTAATAAATAACTGCTTTATTTATTTATACGTTTATCCATTTCTTATTATATTGTTTTATAATTATGAATTTATTAAAAAATATTAAATTTAGATTTTGTATTAAAATAAATCCCTGTTGATCGTATGTTTATGCTTACTTGTTTCACGTGATACTGGGTAACTGATTCGTATAGCTTTTTTTATCACATGACTTGAAAATTGCGAAATTTTACAAATTCTGCTGGCTGCTTGTACAATAACTCTTCTCTTTTCGTACCCTAAATATACTTTCTTGTTTGGAACGATTCATAGGAAGAATATAATTCAGAAGGAAAATAAGAAAAATGCGACTCATAAGAAAAGGACGAATACTACTAACGATAAGACCCTGGAAGTAAAAAACGCTGATCGATGATGCGTATCAAGACTGGTGCGATAAATCTGATGAGGAAAAAGACTTTGTTTGCACTGCGATATCAAATCCGGGACCTATCAAAGGTATGCTCTAAACATTTTATACAAAAGAAATCGCCAAATATTTTTAAGTTCACTACTCCATACTTACAGGGAAGCTTCTCTTGAGACCTGTAAACAAGCCATCAAAAAAATTCCTCTAATCATTGGAATGACGATGATATTATGCCAATAGTTAAACTTCTCGCTGGAGACGAACTTTTATTGACGAATTGGGAAATTTTTCGTGATTATCTAGATGTCAACGATGAAATACGTTTGCCCCTTCGAAATTGTCATCCGTGGGTTGGTAGGCCGATTTCGTAGTAGCTGACGTTGGAGGTAGCACTTTCCAATTTCGGATTCAATAACTACCCACAAGCTGGCTCACCAATCCCTCAACTAGCCACTTCGGGTGGCTCAATCTCGAGAGGCTTCAACTTGCAGTTAATGGACTTTGGTTGTTTGTTTTTAATACCAACTCTCCGAACTACATTATTAGATTATGTTACCTCATAAATGTAATAAAGAATGAAATATTAATCTACGAATGTTTCCTATTAGTAATACATTGAAAATAAAGTATTTTTGTATACATGCGTAATTAAAACCCAATCATTATGAATTTTTATTGATTGATATAAAGGATCCGACAAAGTAAAAATGAATTTAACAAAAGATAAAGATATTGGAGTAGTGGACGTTTAAAGAGAGGAATAAGAACATGATATTCTGCTACTAATCCATGTTGTTATCTAAACTACTTTTCTACCTACCCATTTGTTAAATTTTGGATCCTCTCCGCCATAATAAAAAGCATAAATTCACGAACTTCACCGTCTCGCAGCATATTCTGTGGAATCCTCTCCTTAATCAAATCAAAAACTTGCTTAAAACGGGTTCCAATTTCTGAATCGGATGATTGACCAGAAGAAATTTCCGTAAAAGCTAGGACTTTGAAGATTCGGATTGGTTGGACTCTCTCTGTCGATGAAAAGTATGCGGGCAATTACGTAATGTTGAACCATTTCATTTTAATTGAAGTGAATTCGGACGAAAGTCATTATGGCAGGTTCCTTCAATGGTACTCATCGTCACGTGCATTATTTTTTTTCGATTTCTGCGGTAAGTTTATCGCATAGATTCTGCCAATTAAAAAATTATGTTTTGACCCTGTATGATTGACCCTGTCAAATATACACGAAAACAATTACAAAAATCCCGAAACTGTCTGATTATGTACAGTACGGCAAAAATATTTCTAAAAATTAAAAACATTAACGCGTTGTTTTTTTCTCATTTATTTTTACAAGAGCATAGACCACATAGACCAGTAGATGGACATTGGAAGTTTGGAAGCACTTTTGGACTTCCAATAAAAATCATTAGAAGCTTCCAATGCACATAGAAACAAACATATAAGTTGATTTGGAAGCACTTTTGGACTTTTAATTCAAATAATACTTCCAATTTCAATAAAATCATTAGAAGCTTTTCAATGGCATAGACTATACAAACAAAAAAAGAATTTTTTATTTTGAAAGACACTATTAATAAATAGATTAACAATATTAATTAATAGATTAATATTTAATGAAAAAAAAAACAATACGATAATTATTTTTTTATGAAAAAAAAATATAATTTTTTATTAAAAATATTAAGAGAATAAGACCGGTTTTTTTTTTGGTTTAAAAATATTAAAAAGAACAAGTTATTCTTGTCATAAAAATTAAAAAATATTTCTTTTTTTCGTTTATCACATTATCACATTATCGAAATATCGCGTTTTCGATTAAGAATATTTTTGTCATACATAAACATGCATGTTTTGACCAAGACCAAAAGTAAATTAAATCGCACAAGGTTAAGAACGTAATTTGTTTGAAGAACAACCACATGGTAGCGATCAGTTAATTGATCCCCATGAATATCGCTAAACTAACGAACAAAAATCAGCGGGTAAAATCCTGTACTTATATTTAGGTTATTTAGGTTGTACTTATTTGGATGAGAATGTACTATTTATTCTATGTATTTAAAGTTTCCAATAATTTATGTTAAATAAAAATATATAAATATTATGGTATATTTATATTGTACTTTTTTTTTTTATTATTATTATTATATTTCATTTAATTGGTTTAAATTTTAAAATCTAAACTTTTACCGGATTATATTTTAAAGGATCTATATTAACTTTTTTGTAAAAATTCTAGATTAATTTGCCCTCTTTATCTGTCAACTTTAATCTTCTAATTATAAATAGATAGAGATATATTTATCCGTTATCTCTTTTATATATTTTATATATTATATTATATTTTTATTATTGAATTACAAATTAATTAATTAATTTTAAATTATTATTATTATTTCTTTTGCTTTTTCAAAGTATTGGCTAGAATCTTTATAACTAAAGATACTATTATGCTATATAAATATATATAGCGATCTATGTTTTAATGATACAAATATTCTGAGATTCTTTTCATAATATCTTCACATGGTAAATTCAATGAAATATATTATATTACGCTTTTACGTAACTATAAACATGTTGTTTTTTTTTGGCGTTAACTTAAAGGAATTCAACTTTTTTTTTTTTTTATTATAAACAATTTTTTTAAGAAGTGTATTTTACGGAAACCCCTATATATGGATAGAACCCCTTAAATTTCCCGCAACAATGTCAACATAAATAAAACTCATATCATTGGAACAAGATCATACCATCTTCAATACCCTGAGTTAAACTAGATCTCCAGAAAAAAAAAAAAAAAANAAAACTCATATCATTGGAACAAGATCATACCATCTTCAATACCCTGAGTTAAACTAGATCTCCAGAAAAAAAAAAAAAAAAAAATTTTGCAAATCAAGCAAATCTCATTTAAAAAAAGATATACAGAATTTTTTTCTGATCATTGATTATCCTCTTTTTACTATCTTTACTAGAAGAAGGCTTATCGGTTTATCATATAATCCGATGATTATCATATCAAAGTTATTTTTAGATAAAAGGATTTACTTTTTTTAACTACGATTGTTATCCCCGTTATCAAATTTATAGGTAAACTGAATTTATTAAATCATGTAAATCTTTAATGATCGTCGTTAGAACCACCGGGAATTTATATTTTTTCTAAACATGGGACCCTAAAATCTCTAAATCTTACCGTATATATTTCTTTTATAAGTTAATTTTTAATATTTATTAATAACATTACTATGAACAATATGAGATCTAAAAAAGAATAATTTTAAAAAAAAAATTTTTAAAAACCTTGTACTATAATTGTAAGCAATAAGCAGGTTTGTATTTCGCTTTTTTTGTATCAGATTAAAAAAAAAAAACATTGATAAATCGTAACTTCGGGATAGTTACGGGTGCAATTTAAGTTGTATTTTCGATTTGTAGATTACAAAATGAATCGATTTACAAATATTATATTATTTCGATTTTCAGAATCGATTCCATCCTCATTCTTCCTTATTTTCATTTGTTCCCACACATATTTATTCTTTTAATAATACCATTTTAATCTAGATTATTTTTTTCGCATGGTTTCTGATTAAAAACTGCATATAATCATTTATTCGCACCTGATCGGATCGGGACGTTAGTGGAACGTTCATGTCCATACGACATACAAATCTGTTGCTGCGTAGTTGTGCATAACCGATAAGCACAAAGATTTGCGCCATCATACCTTAACTTTTTTTGTTGGGAGTTTTTATTTTTTACGTGTTTAGTAATTAAAATAATTCGTTATGTTCAAAAGAAAAAGAAAAAAGAAAAAGAAAATACAAAATAAATATATTAATTTAAAATATGATTTCATATCAGGAAATCAGAGATAAAAAAATTCTTGATAATTGAATAGAATAATAGATAATCAAATTTACAGTAATAAGTAATAACCCATTAAATTCCTGTCAAAATCTCACAATAACTCCACCCGAACATATAACCCTTCTTTTCCCTTTTATTAATTGATTGATTTCCTTATTTATTTATTCTTCCTTAGAAATACTATCCAACTTTTTAAAAAAATTTTCAGTAATTTCTTTTCCACTAGATTCATTATAATAATAATAATAATTATTATTATTATCTACATTTTTAATAGGAGAACTAGAGAATCCGAAATAAGTGGAATGAGTATTAGTATCTTTAGTATCCTTTGTAATAGTTGTACTATTATCAACTGTAGTGGCTGTAGTGATAAATGTATTTGAATTATTATACAATGTTCTCTTGTGTTCATTCCTATCATACGATGAAAGTCTTCTCTGCATCTTTGGTCGTTCCGTCGTTTTAGTTTCTCCGTTTGAACGTGTTTTGTAATGATGTGATGTTGTTTCATTTAACGGAGATTCCATCTCTTATTTTTTTTTTATTTAGAAATTCGAATGGGAAAAAAATGGAGCGGAAAACAGGCTTATTTATAAAAGAATTTTTAATTAAAAAAAAA